TATATTCTATTCTTATTTTTTCTCGTGTAATTTTCTGAGCATGGCTAGAGGGGAGCCTGGGACTCAAGCATTTCATTGCCATCACCTGCTAAACGTAATTGTTGTGCATATGATCAATAAACCCTTGAGTCCTGAAACAGGATGGATTATTGGGACGCAGCCCGGGTCCCTTCACTCAGCTGTGGAAGGTTCCTGAACAAAATGGGACGCAGCCTCAGTGCGTCAGTCGGTGACGTCACGGCAGCGCGTGTTTACATCGGGCTCGTGTTAAACAGCTCCAGTCTTCACCGTCAGTAAACATGGCCGCCACAGAGGTAACGGTTATCTGCCGCCACACGGGCGATGCTAACAGACGGCTAACAGCTAAATGTTGTCTCCGCTGAATGAGTCGTGTCGCCTTTCTGTGTCCGCAGGGAGGCAAACTGTGGGGGGGTCGCTTCGTGGGAGACACCGACCCGGTCATGGAGAAGTTCAACGCGTCCATCGCCTACGACCAGAGGATGTGGGACGCTGACGTCCGAGGGAGCAAGGCGTACGCGAGGGCTCTGGAGAAGGCAGAGCTGGTCACCGCCGACGAGGTGAAGCAGATCCTGTCCGGGCTGGAGCAGGTAAACCCCCCGGAGAAACACACACACACAGCCAGCAGCTGGGGAGTCAGTGTCCCTGGCTGCCCCTCCAGTGTGGACAGTATCACCATGCGATGGTTGGCAGCTGTCGAGGCTGCGCCTGGACCGACATTTTCCCCCCATCCCTGATGTTTCGAGACCGTTCTCCTTCCGTTAAATACAGGTTATCCTCATGAGGGTCGTGGGCTGAGCTGGAGCCAATACCAGCTGATAAAAGGGCCAGAGGTGGGGTACAAGTGTCCAACACACAGGGACAGACAAAAAACATACAGGGACAAACAACACACAGGGACAGACAACAACAACATAGTGGGACAGACAACAGCATACAGGGACAGACAACAGCACATGGGGACAAACAACGACACACAGGGACAAATGTCATACAAGTACAACAACACACAGGGACAGACGTCATACAGGCACAACAACATTCAGGGACAAAGAGGCGCTCACTTTGGACATTTTCACGTCTGAACAATACAGCAGGAGATTTTCTGCTCAGTCACAACGACACAGAAATCTCTGGCGTGTTCAGGTGAGGTGGTGCAGCGCGCAGAGGCAGGACCTAACCACTAAAAGCTCTCCTGACAGTTTTGTCTGCGTATGACGCAGCTTTTTCATCCTGAGATGTTTGTTTTCTTTTTGTTGTTTCATTTGTCTGTTGCGTGTTGTGAACGTCATCAACGTGCCCAGGATATCCATTGGATAATCATAAGAGTAGTAGCAGTGTTTCCTGTGGAAGTTCTTTTTAGATATAAACGTAAATGCATTATTTATTCTGTAAAATGAAAGGTTTCTAAATAAAAGTTTTAATACATAAACTCTAATGCCGATATGTCTGTGAAGATAACATGAAGAAGCGATAATATGAAAGGATTGTATTAAATATTGTATCAATATTTAATTGTGTGTTATTTCTAAAAGTTTCTAACTAATAAGCATATATAAATAGAGACCTATATTTATGTGTAAGAACATGTCCATATGATACACACAAATTGATTCAAATTGATTATATATAGAAGTACGTGAAAATGTGAACACGTGTTTTATTCTTTTCAGATTTCTGAAGAGTGGTCTAAAGGTGTTTTTATTATTAAACCTGGAGATGAAGACATTCATACTGCCAACGAGCGCAGACTCAAGGTGACTGTAATTCCTACTTTAAATGGATACACACAATACAACAGTTTTGCTGTGTTCGTTAGTCAGCTAAATTAAATCATTATCATTTACTGCAACTGCGGTTGAAGATTTGTTTTTTTGTTATTGTAATATTGTACTACAAATGCACTGTACTCTATCAAAGTCAGGCACTAAGGAAAACATACATTTATATTAATGTTGTGGCATTTCGAGAGTAAGCAATAAGCTTCCTGAGTAAAAGAATTACAATAACAGGTAAGAAAGAACTACAAAAAATAAATATAATAAGATAATAAAAATAGAATTTGATTCTGGCTGAGGAATTATCTGTAAAAGTAATCGTATAGAACTATATTTTCATATTTCTGAATGTGAAACGTGATGGTTGTGATCAGAGATGTTATAGTTCTCTAACAGGTTGTTTTCTCAGGAGCTGATTGGTGCACCTGCAGGGAAGCTGCACACTGGCAGGAGCAGAAATGACCAGGTTTGTCTTCACAGGGTTAAAACTCAAATGACTGACAGATTATTCTGGCTTCCAGCCTGTGAGTTGTTTCAAAGGATGGAGTAGCCCTTGAGGCTGTGCTCTGTGTTTTGGTTGATCAGGTGGTGACTGACATGAGGCTGTGGCTGCGAGATGCCATCTCAACCCTCACAGAAAATGCCCTCCAGATGATTTCTACCATGGTGGAGCGGGCTGCAGTGTAAGCTAACAACACACACTGTCACATGCAGCCACACACACCTGCTGGTACCTGTGCCCTCTTAAAGTTTGTCACCTCTTTCTGCACCTTAGAGAAATCGACGCCCTATTTCCTGGTTACACCCACATGCAAAGAGCTCAGCCAATCCGGTGGAGTCACTGGATTCTAAGGTGACCTTTACATAGAGAAACTTACTGTGCAGTGCACACCTCCTACTTTTATATGAAATATACAGTATAATATGTGTTGTTCATGTCAGCCTCCTTTTTCTGTCTCCCCACATTTGAACCCCTCCTCAGTCATGCTGTTGCCCTGAGCAGAGATGTCGACCAGCTTCAGGAGATCAAGAGAAGAGTTAATATTTTACCTCTTGGAAGGTACACAGTGATCACATACTCATCTGACACTGACTTCCACACGCAGACATGATCGGTTAATAAGAATGCTTCTTTACTAGCGGTGCCATCGCTGGAACGCCGTTTGACATCGACAGGGAGCTACTGCGGAAAGGTTGGGCCACTTTGCTAAAACAATAACCACACAGTTTACAGCTTTAAAACATATATTTTATACCTCAAATGATAATATGAAACTTCAAACAGCTTTATTGGAGGTTTGGGTAATTCAAATAGAAGAGACATGGCCCTTTGTCAGTACTTGTTTGTTTCCTTTGCCTCCAAGTGGCCAAAAAATAAATCAATTGTTGCAGGTTGAAAAAAAAAATTAAAAAAAATATAAAAACCTACACAATTTCTTCTTCTTTGAATCTGCAGAGTTGGAGTTTGAGGACATCAGTCTGAACAGTATGGACGCCACGGGCCAAAGAGACTTTGTTGGTACATAAACCACATGCGAGCCATCTGTGTTTGACCTGTGGAGATGACATTACCTCTTTCTGCGTTGTCTGATGTTCATGTTTTCTTGCGTGTGTGTTTCTTTAGTGGAGTTCTTGTTCTGGGCTTCATTATGTTTGACCCACCTCAGCAAGATGGCAGAGGACCTGCTGCTGTACAGCACAAAAGAGTTCTCCTTCATCTCACTGTCTGACGCCTACAGGTCGGTTTGCATTTTCTTGTACTATCCTTAAATTACAGACAAAATATTACCTCCACCAAGGCGGGTTATATTTTCAATTGCTCTTTGTCTGTCTAGTAGAAGGATTACGCAAAAACTACTAAATTGATTTTATTGAAACTTGGTCGATGCGTGGGGTCAAGGAAGAACCAATAAAATTTTGGATTAAATAAGGAGGCGAATTTGGGATTTTTAAAGAACGAGGTATGCAAAGTGACTGGGTAAAAAATAATGATTGTCAAACCGTCTAACCTGTCTTTGATGCATGTCTGATAAGGGTGTGTGTTTGTTTATGAACTTGATATTTGATGGAATCAGGAATATTAATCAAACACATGAAACTAGTTTGACCTTGACATGAAATTTAATTTATTGTATTATATATTTTTACAGGGAAGTGTAAAAAAAGTGAGAGATTGATTATATTTGTGTTTTACCTCCTTGTGTACCACTTTTCCGTGTTCCCTGTGTCCCACCTACGTTTGATTGTGTGTGTGTGTAGCACAGGCAGCAGTCTCATGCCCCAGAAGAAGAACGCCGACAGTCTGGAGCTGATCAGGAGCAAAGCAGGTCGTGTCTTTGGCCGAGTAAGACTAAAGATAGACGTTACTGAAGAGACCTTGTTATGAGGTCACGTTTTCATCAGCGTTTGTTAGCAGGACTACGCATAAACCTCTCAACCAATTTCCATAATTTCATACTTAACTGCTTTCCATTAAATTCGCTTAACATTTTGCATTAGTTTAACCATGTTTCGTCTCTGTCTGTATTTCAGTGTGCAGGGTTCATGATGACGCTGAAGGGTCTGCCCAGCACCTATAACAAAGACCTGCAGGTGTGAAAGTGTGTTTTTGCGCGTCTTTAACTTCATGGGAAGAACTTTGTTTCTGGACATTGTCTTTGTTTTCCTTCTTCAGGAGGATAAGGAGGCCATGTTTGACTGCTATGATACTGTGCATGCTGTGCTGCAGGTGACAACTGGAGTCATGTCAACTCTCCAGGTCTGAGATTCACTGTCAATCATTTTGAAAACAACACAGCATTCTATTGGTTCTTGGGATCCATAGCAGTGTTGATGTTTAAATGTAATGGTAGTTGAATGGACATTGTTTAACTTTGTAACTTTTTTTTTTTGAGCCACAGTTCAAATACATTTCATAAAATATGAATGCTGAAGATTTCTGAGACAAACTGACAAGGATTTAGTTTCCACTGATGTTTCTCTTGTGTTTCAGATCAACCAGAGTGTGATGGAAGCAGCTCTCAGTCCTGACATGTTGGCTACAGATCTGGCGTACTACCTTGTGAGGAAGGGGGTGAGTACTTCAGAGATTTGTTGTGGTGATGTGTTTGTGTGTTACGGTGTAAATCTGTTATTCTGCGTTGCAGATGCCATTCAGAGAGGCCCATGGTGTCTCTGGTAAAGCTGTGTTTATGGCTGAATCCAAAAATATCGCACTGAACCAACTCACCGTGGAAGACCTGAGAGCTCTTAGGTGATTGTCTCCGTTTGTTACTCGTCCACAAGTGCAACCTATAAGCATATTGAAAATATATATATTTTAGATATATACTTTCTTTCTCATGCAGTCATGATTTTCCCCAATGTTTACCCAATTCTTTTTCTGTATCTGCTCTGTCATGTAGCCCATTGTTTGGAAGCGACGTATCCTCTGTGTGGGACTACAGGAGCAGTGTGGAGCAGTACAGCGCTCCAGGGGGAACAGCCAAGAGTAGCGTCACTGCACAGGTGGAACACCTGAGGAACTGGCTCAAGAAACAGGCACAGTGAACTCAGCCTGGTAATACCTTGAAAATTTGAATCGATTTTACTGATAACTATTAAATATGATGATGAAATACCAGACTGAGGTCAAAAAGACTTAGAAACCACGTTGCCTTTCAAACATTCACCCTTCTTCTTTTCATATTGATGGAGGATTGAGTTGATCACACACATTCAATGTTACAAAAGACCTGACACATGTAGAATATTCGACAAAGACGAAATAAATGTTACTGGTGTTTTACATCTTTATCCATCATGGCGTCATTTGGTATCCATCAGATATTTTCCTGTGTAGAGCCACAGAGACACACACAAATACACATGCACACGATGGTGTCGTTTAATGCTTCAAAAATTATCTGTTTTTTTACAGCAGAGAAATAGATATAAAATGATTTATTAAAGTTAAATAGTTTAACAAGGTACAACTACAAGGAGTGACCACTTTGTGATTCTGCTGCCATGAAATCCGTAATTGATTTTTTTCCCTGAAAAGCCCAGTCGGGTCATTCTTAATGTAAAATTCTTTAAAAAGTTTTATGTGTAAAATATATTCACTAGGTTGTACTGGCCATTTACTGTTATTATAGTAAATCTGGTGCCACATTTCTCCGCCGCACTCAAAGGTTAAAGGTTAAATCATAAGCAGGAGCAGATATCAAATTGTTTGTGTGGCAAAGCATCACAGATACTAATGCACATTTAGAATGTTGTCAGATTTCTGACAAATAAACAAATGTACAGTATGTGTAAGAAATGCTGTAGCATCTAGTCTTGTATGTTCAATCATCTGAACCACAGTAGGTTCAATGTCTAGGAAGCACGACAGACAAAATTAACATTCTAAAAACAAATCTATAATATAAGAGCAAATTAAGTGTAAGTAAATTTACTGCTACTAAATCAAACCAAGTTTATTCTGACTAGATAGTTAATTACAGACCACTTTTCACGCAGAGTCAGCTATTTCTTTGCTGAAAAAATAACAGCAAAAAAAGAAACATTAACTTTGCCCAATAATTTCTGTCACTGTTGCAACCATGCACTGTAAATAAAGATGGACAACATGACAGCTCGACAAAAGTGAGGCCCCCGGGTGGCCTGCAATATAAGTCATAAACCCCACCGCCTCAGCGTCAGAAGATGGGAAATGGACCTTATTAAGGACCTTAACACTATGGATCCCAAGTGTTGATGTTTCTGATTGATGGTTTGGAAGTTTGGTTTTAATTGGTTATTTGATTCTATAAAAACAGAGTGGAACATCATGATTGGCAGCTGAGACTGACTCGTGATTGGTCGAGCACAAGTATCCGCTGCCCCTTGATACAGCAGCTCTGTATCAAGAGCTGATCGATCTGGCAGCAACATCAGCACAAGATGGTGGCGTTTGTGACATGGATATTTTGGCTTCATTTCTGCTGGATGATGGGAGAAAGTGGAGACATGCTGTCCATCTTTATTTACAGTGTGTGGACACACGGAAATCATGATCTTAGTATTTTAGATAGCAGTAGATATTCAGTAGTATTCCTTTTGTTTCATGAATAAACCTGGACTCTGACAGTTTGTTGTTACGCTAACACAAAGTTAAAAAGTTCCCTTTACACACATACTAACTTCTGCCACTTAGATCATCAGGTGTTTAATGTGCTGAGTCAGAGTGTCTGACCCGCTGTCATGAGCACAACTGAGAATACACCGAACCACGCGCTGGTCGGAGCGGCGGCGGCATTGGAGCGGTACACGACTCTGCCATCCAGAGGCTGTGTGGGTCTGAAGATGTCAGTCATGGGCTGTCCGGTCCAGAACTGACACTGCTGAACTATTGCATCCAGCTGGAGAGAAGAATAGAAACAAGTTCAAAGCTGACACGTTCTGCTCATATTCAGGTTCTTCATTTTAATTTGTGTTATTCCTTGGAAAGGTTTACATTCTCAAATGTTCGGGAGTATCTACACTCAATATAGTCACTTTGTGAACACACACACACACACAGAGTTAAGCAACTGTTCTAAGTGATACTCGCTCACCTGTCGGCTGCTGATGGACAGGGTCCTGTGAAACACTGACCAGGCAACTGCCTGTTCGCACCCTGGAGTTGTCATGGAGCCCACGTAGCGAAAGTAACTGTGCAGGTCCTTCGCAGACGGGATAATGTCACTGAGGCGGAAGTTTGGAATCACTGTGCTGCTGCCTTAACACAGAGAGGACGTGTCACATTAAGTCAAGTTGGGAATTTGGTCAAATTGTGCGATAGAGTGAAAAATGGGATCAAGTTCAAGACCCTCACGATGTCGAAGTTTCAAGTTTCACACATTAAAGTGACCCAGCTCATACCGTTGTGTTGAACTCGACCCAGAGCAGTGATGACTGTGTCCAGATGAGGATGATCGTCTGTTGTTTCCTGTGAGGAGACCATCAACACTGTGACACAACCCTGAACTGTTTGAAATTTAAAACCTAAAAAGCAGAGTTATGGAGGTGACCACAACTCAGCGCATTACCTCAAACAGGAAGGCGAGCAGAGCGATACCCGCCATGTCATGTTCTGCCTCTGCCAGAGAACCGTACGGCTCCTTGATGTGGACTATATGCAGCTGAACAGAGAGAGGAGGAGAAGCCTGTAGACACTCTGTAGTTTTCATATTGTGTCAGATTATTAATAATGAATAGTTGTAGTATGAATACATTCAAAAGCTGAATGACACCATCCATCCAGACCATTAGACAAATAGTGGTGAGTAGTCCAATAATACATGCCACTGTTGATGGCTTACACTCGATTACATCTCCTCTCACAGTTCTGTGTCACTGATGCTGTCTTGTGAGTGCTGTACCTCCATGGGGAATCTCTCTCCGTCAATGGTGTGCTCTGATCCAGGTCTGCCATTCCCTCCCCAGTGGAAGTGAAACTGGGCCGCTCTGTAGTGACCGGGAAGAGCTCCTCCTGTCAGCCGCACCGACTGTGGCAGATGAAAGTGAGCTGCAGGGAGGAGACAAGTGGCAGAGGTCAAAGTTGAACAGGAACCTTAGTATTGTGCTATTTGGGCCACTGTCGGTTCACATCCAGATAACACCTTGCCTGGGGCACCATATGTTTGCCAAAAAAGGGCCTGCATTTGTTTTGGAATTTAAAATGTACTATTTTTATTTTTATAACTTTAGGCTCCATTTTGTTCGGGCCACAAGAAGGCCAGAAGTGCCGGAGCATTGCCTGAAGTGGCTCACATCCGAATGCTATCTCTTTTGTCTATTAAGCAAGATAAAGCAATTACCTGAGTGCCCTTTGTTTTCCACTGTAATGTTGATTACGTCAGTGTGACCAATGAAGTTGAAAGGTGGCAGAGCGGTGTTGACGTGCACTTTACTGGTCACGATGTTGATTGGTGACTGACGTAACCCTCCACAGCTGGGAAACTGAGCTGCCCAGTGGAAGGGGTCTAAACAATACAAACAGAAGAGGCAACACAATCAAATCTTGGACTGGACCACCTGAGTGTTACCACGCAGAGTCACGTGTGGTTTTCCAGTGGAACCAGTCTGAGTTCAGCAGGAATGCCTCCTCTCCACATTCAAGGTTAAACTGAAAACGTTGCTCTTTGATGAAGCTCAAGTGAGCGGCACAATATCAAACTCTCTGGATGTGAGCGCTGATCTCTGGTTTGACATTTTTCAATTTGAGTTCCCGGTTGTGGGTGAACAAACTTACCTCTGCATGTGTCATCACAGGAGTACTGGCTCTGGTAACACCACTGAGCTGCAGAGACATCACAGACAAACAGTGTATTCTTGAGGCTGGCTCTCTCACTCAATGAATGGGTATTAATCGTTTCTCACATTCACGCTCTATTAGCCACAATGGGTTTGTTTTTCCCAGTCAGCGATTTTAGCTGATCTGCTAATGTGTTTGTGCTGTGCAGTTGAACTTTGAGAAGGCCGAGCGGGCAAAGCACACACACACACACACACATACACACTCACACACACACACACTCACACATACACACTCACACATAAGCCAAGATAATGATTATTTCTCGCATTACTAATCCTGCCCTTCAGTCGTCTTTTTCGCTCGATTAGATAAAGATGATCTGAAAGCACCTATATAAAGAAATCATTAGCTTTATGTACTTAAACTAGATGTTATCCAAATACTGAAATATAAAATAGTGGGATTTAGCATTTTCCGCAATTGACATATAACTTAAAGATGACATTAAAGTGAAGCAAATATCGTCTTCATCTCCTTCTAGGTGCTGGCTGCCGTCAGTTTGATGCCGTGATCCGCTCCCTGATCTGGATCTGTGGCCCAAGTTGTGATCGATATGGCCAACAAAGCTCAAAACAAATAAATAAATGGAAATGTTTCACTAAGTTTATGACAGATTTAGATCAAGTAAAAGCCATTTTTCTGTATTGGTTCATATTATTAAGTCAACATCTGTCACTATAAACTGTAGAAACACACAACAGGCTGATTTCTTATCTTTTAGACAAGTCTTTTGTTGTGTTGTGATTGTTTTCAGTTGTTGTTTGACTCAGAGAAACACACACTTCACTAACTTCACACTACTGAACACGTCCATCCAACAGGTGCTGGTGAAGTCACCTGTGAGTCTTGGGCTGTGGTTGTGTATTGTATTTGCTGATGTGAATGGAACTCCGGTGTGTGACTCTGCTGTGGGAATGAACAGTGCGACAGGGAACCATTTAGCTAATATAGGAACACAGATTAACCCCACTGCATCCCACAATGCCGTTCTTTGAGAGGGGACAACAGTTCTCACCAGCTGAGAACAATGCACAGGTGGAGGTTGGCTTTACTCCACCTGGCTCACACACCTGTGCCAAACCGAGTTGTGCAGAAAAGGCACAAATCAACAACCTTTACTCTGTTTTATTTTAAAATCATCCCCTCTTCTTTACATTTCCTTGTTGATTTCCAATGAGCCAGAAAAAAGAATTTCACCCCTTGAATTATTCCATGTAACATCTCTGAAAGAAGATAAAACACATTTGTCCTCTCGCAAACAAAAAGTTGAACTCAGAAGCTGTAAAAACACTGTGTATGAATTTAACACTATATTAGCAAACATTAGATAGATATTGCTGCATAACGGCAATTAGTGAGTCAAGATGTAAGTCAGGTTATTGATCTCGTTATTGTGAATTGTGTCCAATGGTATTACTATGTCCATTTGAGCTGCGATGATCAATACATTTACAGATTAATCAATGAACAGAAAACCAATTGGCAACTATTTTAATAAAATATTTCAGCCTCTCATTGGGAGAATTTTCTGCTCTTCATTATTTACCATCACAGTAAACTTTATGTTTTGAACAGTCGCTCAAATAAAACACATTTTCCACATTTTTTTTGTTTAAAAACCAAGAATAATTTAGTTTGTTTGAATAATCTCAAACAAACTAAATTATCTAAAAACTAACGTGAGAAAAGGCAAAGACTGAAGTCAGTGAAAATGTGCAGATCTTTGTGATGCAAATTTATTTCTGTGCTTTTCTACTCTGTTAATTATCTTGTGTCTTCCAGCTGAACAGGTTTTCAGGCTAAACTAGTCACATTCACAAAGACTTATCTGAGCGAAATGCTGCAACAATCTCTTGATAATTTATATTATAAGTGTAAAATCTGGAATAAGTAGCAGTGTGTGTGCATTGCAAAGGTTTAAACTATGTTTTGTGTGTGTGTTTGTGTGTGTGTGTGTGTGTGTCCTACCTGTGGACTGAGAGAGGAGAGAAAGCAGTGTCAGGAGGTAGAAAGAAAAACCCATGATCATGAGCAGCCCAATGACCAGAGACTGAATTTCAACTGCCCTTCACATTCTGACTCTGCAGCATTTGAGGGTGGGAGGGAAACTTGTATGTGTGTGTGTTTGCGTACTTGTACTTGTGACGTGTGTGTCTTTGTGAGACCATTTTGAGCACAGACGGAGTGAGAACTTTTTGGTCCTCACTTTTTTCTTTGAGGGTTAAGACTTATATAAGAATCAGGGTCAGGGTCAGGCAGGGTTAGAAGTTCAAGGTTGTGTGTCTGTGTGTTGTGTGTCTGTGTGTGTGGTCCAGGTATTGTGTTGTGAGGCCATAATACTGTTTACACAGTCACACTATGGGGACATGTCTTCTTTATTGGGACTTAATGGTTGTCCCCATAATGTGAACCTTTACATTCTAAGGAAAATACATGTTTTATGGTTAGGTTAAGGGCTTAGGTTAAGGTTAGGTTAAGTTTACTTAAAATCAATGCAAGTGAAAGTATGTCCCCTGAAGTCTCATGGAGATTAGTGTGTGTGTGTGTGTGGGTGTGTGTGTATCCCTTGAAGAAACAAAAGGTGACTTCCTCACCTGTCAGACGACACCTGGTGGCAACACCAGGAACTGTGATATTTCCAGTAAAACATGGACCTTCAACCTAAAAACTGTGTCATTATCCCACTGAGGTTGTTTAAACCTGGTTTTGAATGAGATAAAAGATGAAAACATTGATATATTTCACCTCAAGTGGTTCACAAAATCAAAACTGCCATCATCCACACAAAACGTCTTTCAAATCTGTTTTTTCCTGTTGGTATAAAAAACACAAAAGTATATTATTGTGAGTATAAACTACTATTATGATGCACTATGAAGATTAGTTATGCAGATATGTAGGTTAAAGTTAAGTTTAGGTTAAGGTTAGCTTCAATCTACATATATAGATAATTATGAAGATTAGAACATTATGTAAATGTATAATATATGTATTTATTATTAGATGCCAATCTTTTCCTGCAGGTTAGGTTAACAGGAAATTTTAAATTACTATAAATGTCTCTGTCTGTCGGTGATGTGATGGACTAACCACCAATGTCAGCTGGGACTGGCTCCTGCTGTCCAAACCCAAGCGTGACCCTCAAAGAATAAGCAGTATTTATTTGTTACATGTATAAACACAGCGAATGAATCGACAGTCGTCACATGCAACACATCCACCACTGTGGTCTGGTTCCATGAAACAATTGGTTCAGCCGTATTCTTTCTATGTAGATTATTGATAATAAAAGTTGACTGTGTCAAAGTGGAAGCCATGATACAGAAAATTAGGAAACACACTTGAATAATCACCTCACAAGCTGATACCATTAGAAATATATTTATTTCAGTATTTATCCAAAATAACTGTAAATTAATTTAACTGTTAATTAAAAACCCTTTATGAATAACAGTGTGATTAAAAAACATTCAGCAACTTATTGTTGTTAGCCATTTCGAAAACGTTCCTTCAATTTGTTACAGGCGTAAAGAAATAAAATGTCCTTCATAGGATCGAGTGTGATTTCGCCACGACTCAAAAGCCGGTGATGAAACACTTTAGTCTGACCTGTGTCTCGTCAGCGGACAGACGCACACAGAGACGACACATAAAAACCAAACCTACACAGAAGGTACAGTACAAGTACCTTCAGGCTCAGTGTTAAGTTGACGGCTGATCCAACATTGAAATGAAACAGACTCAGAATGAACAGTTGTAAAATTCTTCCCTAAAATAAACCTTCATTAACGTAAACAAATCAGAGGTTAGTTAAATTTGAGAAACTTTCTGTGAGCATTGAAAGTGTCTTTAATAAAAGCTACAGGCACTGTTCATATCACAGGGCTGAGAAAAATATCTCAGCATTATGTAAGAATATTTACTTACTTATGTATCCAAACCTGATCTGACAGGTTCTAATATAACACATTGATTCTGAGCAGAGATTTTAGAGCCTGAGGTGGGAATAAATAATCACCTTCATGAAAACAAAAGTTTCACACTGAAATGTGTGAAATGCACATTAGGGCAACAACCAAAATGTTCTCAAGTGATTTTCAGGTTTGATTTGATTTATGCAGAAACTTGTTGATGAAATGCTTCGTCTTCTTCTCTCTGGTCCAAAGAGTCAAGGAAACAACAGATCTGTCATCCGGACACCAACAGGATGTCTTCAAAGAAGATAACTCTGAAACAAAACAAACACACGTTTTCCAGTTAGAGGCTCATGAAGTTACATTTTTGGCCCTCTGGTTGGCGCCATAGAGCGTCGTATTGTCCTGAGCTGCCCTGTGGCCCGAGTCCAGAGGTTGATGGATGTATCTGTGTATCCTGCAGACGCCGAGTTTCAATGAAAACAGACAAATGACGACATTTAAAGTAAATGTAAAAGTACTAGTTATTTAAAATGGCACCATTCAGATGAGCTTGGCTTTTAAAGACATATGAAAATCTGTTTCTCTACAATGACATTTAATATTAAATTAAATGAAAAGCATCCGAGCGGCGATGCACACAATCAGGTTTTACTTTTATTTACATCGTGACGCGAGTTATCACATGTGACAACGGATGATTGTTGAGGTTGTGTCTCTGGTGTTATGGGTTGTTTTACTACACTATATATATATTACATCTTTTTCGGACATTATCGTGATGTCATGATGATGTCATTCCTACAATATGATGTGATTTGTGACTTCATGACGCCAATTATATGACATCATATGATGGGGACTCATTTTCTGATCGTCTCTCTATTACTTGTGGAAACATCTTGGAAAATGTGACGGTATTTTGGTGAAATTATTAGCATGTGTCATATTTTTGCTTTGCTTCCCTGTGATACAAACATGTGACTGTGTTTTTGTCTGTTCAGCGTCTCTCTCTCTCCCTTCATAACTCACCTGAAGCACAACCGCAGACATCACAGCCAGAGCAGCCAAGAGCGCCATCCGCCCCAACCAGCCCAGGTCGAAATTCTTCAGAAGGAAGAAGCGCACCCAGCCGAGCTTCTCCTGCGTGTGAGGTGGATACCGCATGCTGTTCATCCCCTCCATCTTCAGCTGTTTGATGAGACAACCACGCAGGTGGCTCAGCTGGTCAAAGCTGAACTTACCATGATAGCAGCCCATACCACTGTTCCCTGTACATGACAAACAGAAGAGTTCAGCTGTTGTTAGTTTCCAGGGTGATGGCAGTAAATTGGTCATACTGTTATAAATACAGAAAACTCTTATGACATGAGATCCTAAGTGTAAGCTTCCAAAAACTACAAGTCAGGCTGAAACGTCCGTCCAGACTAAATCGTAACCCTGACGTTTTTAAACTCAAACAGAACCAGCAGTGATTCCAGACTTCTCTGTTTCAGTGGCTCGAAAACGCTGAGGAGTGTGGATGCCAGGAATATCCAGAGCAGAGTTTATGTGTTCTCAAACAAAAAGGTTGTGCCGTTTTTGGCGCTATGTGAACTCACCCACTCCTCCAAAAGGCAGAGAGCTGACTGAATAGTGTACAAGACAGTCGTTGGCCAGCAGTCCTCCACTAGATGTCTCATCCACCATTCTCTGTATCACCTTATAGAGTAGAGCAAAACAAACTACCATCAATCATGAGTCTAAAACTACACCCTGTACATGTAGAGGTCTCAGATCTCCATCCGTTAACTAGTTTGCTGAGCGTCAGAATACGTCCCATGTCCATCATCTTAGATACCTTGTCATCTGGTGTGAAGACGTAGAGGGCCAGAGGTTTCTCTCTCTTATTGATAAACTTGATCGCTTCATCCAGGCCGCTGACCGGCAAGATGGGAAGCAGAGGTCCAAATATCTCCTCCTGCATCACCTTCGCCTCTGGCTTCACGTCACGCAAAACTGTGGGGGCTAAACACAACACAGATACACTGTTCATTATTTATTAATCTATATTTTATAAATGCTTTTGAGTCACATGGTCAGGCAGATGCGTCCATATTGATTTTGTCTCATATTTCACCTATGTAGCAGTCTGACTCATCGTTGTCTCCTCCTGCAGCAACGGTGCTGTCGTCCACCATGGCCATTATCCTCTTGAAGTGGCGCTGGCTGATGATGCGTCCATAGTCAGGGCAGGACTTTGGGTTTTCTGTGTAGAAATCCTACCAGAGGAAACAATGTGATACCAAATTAATATTCTTGTGAACGTGTGAGCAAACAATACTGAATAAACAAAATGAGGAATCCCTAATTGTTTCGCTTCACTTGCTACATCGCTTCACTCAAAGATCTCTGTCCACACAAGCATCTTAGCTCCAGATCAGCAATAATCCCTGTCTACACAAACACACCTGAAAACTTTTATCACATGACCATTCACTACACTGTGCATGTGTACGGTAACAGGAAACAGATACTACTCCTCTGTTACTACACAACCCAACCCAGAAGTTTTCCAACTAAATCTGGACCAGCAGTGTTTCAGCCCCTCAAAAACTCTGGAGTAGTGTTGATGGCTGCTGTAAACGTAGCAGAAGAATGCAGGAGTGACGTTGTTGCTTTAGGTTTTAAAACTTATTGTAGATTTTTTTCTCTACAGAAAATTGTCTTTTTGATTAATACAGATTCCTGCTTGTCTGTTGGTGTAGGCACGATCATACGTTTTTTGAAGTTTAGGTTGAAACAAATAGATCATTACTTTTCCTCACTCTCAGAGGGGTGTTTTTTAGCTTCAGTACCTTAATGGACTTCTTGACCTCTTCAATGACCCGGTCCTGGATGCTCGGCTCACAAAGGATGTAGTCCGGGGCGATGCAGGTCTGACCACAGTTAGTGTACTTTCCCCAGGTGACACGCCTGGAGTCAAAATACGTGTCAGGACAAACAGTTCATGAGAGACTGCATTTATTAAAATTTTATTCAAATAAAAAACTTGTTCTGACCGGCAGGCGATGCTTATATCACAATCCTTGTCGATGTAGCAGGGGCTCTTTCCACCAAGCTCCAGAGTGACAGGGGTCAGGTGTTTGGCGGCGGCCTCCATGATCAGTTTGCCCACCATAGAGTTTCCGGTGTAGAAAATGTGATCAAAGTGCTGCCGCAGCAGCTCCTGGGTTTCCGGCACTCCTCCGCATAAGACAGGGTAAAGCTCCTGACACGCAGGCAGAAAGACACGTTCAGGTATCACAAAGCTACAAGTGCTAGCAGAAGCATTTTGAATGTCTTTGTGGCATGTGAGAAGTTTTACAAAGTCTTGAGTTGTGTATTTTGAGACAGATAGTTCTAATAATTATTCCTGATTATCCATGAGCATCAACCTTTTACCCAGTGTCATGTACGATCTTACATTTCATGAAGAACGACAGTGTCTGACTTCACTAGAATGACTGTGGATGTGTGTTACCCTGACGTTACGTGCTCCATCCTTACTTTGTCGATGTAGAGTGGTAGCAGGTCCTCCATGACCTTTGCGGAGTGAACACAGATCTCAGAGGGCTTAATTACGGCTGCATTTCCTGCACAGGAAAATGACAAACACAACAGATAAGACTTGGCCTCATCAAACTTTCCAGAGCTGTGTCAGGGGCAAGCAAAATAGACAAACCACCTCCACCCAACTCTTCTTCTTCTCAGAAGAAGGAAGGTGAGGAGTGACCTGGCAGATCGCTCCCATTCTATTTTCAGCTACAGTCCATGGATCCCCAAATCTTTGATCAACCTGATGGTGGATGTTGCAGCCAACGTCCACGGGGCAAAGTATTGCTCTCCAGCCACGTTGCTCTGCCTCAAATGTCATGTCTGCAGCCCTTTCCTCTGATTCGCTTCATCAACAACATCCTCCCAGGGTACTGTTAATTCTACGAAGTAGACGACGTGCAGGATGTTGGACCATTATACTTGTAAATCTGGTGTGATCATTATCATCTTGATTCTTGAATAAACTTCTCGTGGTGTTTACTCATGACTGAGTTGATAAGTCAAACATTAGATATCGAGTAACCACAGTGTTTAGAAATGCTGGAGGGAAAAAATGATCTGAAATGATGTTGAGAGTTAAAGAGCGTTCTTAAAAGTGAGTCACAGACACTTGTGTTGCTTCATTCTCCTCCTCATGTTCAGTGCTTCCTGTGTTTGCTGTTATTCCAGTAAAACATTACACCTGTCCTGGAGATTGTTGTTCTTGATGTTTTATCTTCCTTTCGCCCTCTGGAGCTGATGTGCAGTTTGTCAAAAGGCAAAGTTCAAACTGAGAGGCTCCAGGCGTACTTCACACTTTCTCAAGGCAGCACCGGAGTAAATACTCTGGAGAAAGAAATTTGCATTTGATGCGATAAATTTAAACATGATACATATTGAAACTTTTTTTTTTTGGTGGTATATGTAACTCCTGCTTATTACACAGACTACAGTTGTTTATGGCTTTCTGCTTTGTTGGCATCTGTTAGTGGAGGTTTTGCTGAATTCCTTTAATTGAAAATAGAACAGCGATTTATTTATTTTTTTCAACACACCAATATTAGTGTGCAACCTTTGGCAAACAATTCCAGACCTGACAGTGTATTTACATGTTTAAGAATATTACACAGCATGTGTCTATATTGAAAATCTTCAAAATGGGTCTGGTGATAGTCACATGATCTTTAACCTGCATTTCTCAATAAATTAAGGGAAATTATTTATCATCTACTGAGCATATATAATCCTTCATGTAATATCTGATTATGCAGTGGAGCAAAAGAGCAAAGTCCATGCTTTGCAAACATGTGCTGGACATGTTGCAGTTCATTCTAGTCATCGATGTCTGGGTCAAAACAAAATGTATCCAAATCAAGAACAAATGAACCATCTACCTACAGTAGTTCTCTTAATCACTACTATGTAAAACTATTGCTAGGGACAAGCAACACACAGACATTGGAGTCAATCAAGAAAGAGACTATGGGCTGTTAAAATACTGCAGTGTCATGCTAAACTGTAGCAAGCAAACACTCCGCTCTGAGGTTTGCATCACAAAGTGATTAGGGCCGAGCTAAAACACTCGATTCAGAGCAGAGGTCGGCCTCTGAGACAGGCATGCATTATTCACGGGTTCGCTCATTATCTGGGAGCGGGGTGATTCTCTCAGAGATTAACGTTGCCCTTTGAGATGTTCAAACATGCAATCACACCGTAACCTGCACTCATGAGAACACACACCCAAAAAATACATAACTCACACTTCTATCACGAGTAGAGTAGAGGAGAGTTCACAGAGTGACCATTGACCCAGTCTAATAGAAAAATAAAGACAGTTGCGAAATACCAGAATAAAAAAGGAACGTGAGTGGTTGTGATCACAAGATGAGGAAAATGAACAAGAATGGAAAATAAGTGTAATAAGAAAAGAGTAAATGATCAAATGACTGAGGTTATGTTTTAGCAGGATTATGAAAATACTAGACAATGGATTTCCCACAAAACTTGTTTCTTTGGCCCAATAAAGAACTAGTTTGACCTCTTGTGCCATTTAGAGTAATTTTGAAAATGTTTCAAAAGTTAAACTGAGACATCATGGCTGCACAAACAAGTCCCCTCACAAAGTCCATCACAGGGGAAATGACGATATCAGATGGAAATATGAACGCTGCCCTCGATACATCACACACCTGCTTCCCCTTCACCAACCCCACAAACATGCACACACACCCACGCAGCAGTACCTGCAGCGATGGCTCCAATGAGCGGTTGGATGGTGACAGCCCAGGGGTAGTTCCAGGCCCCAATGATCAGCACCACTCCCAGCGGCTCCGGCTTGATGAAGACTGTGTCGGAGATGGTCAACAGGTTCTTCTCCACTTTTCGAGGGGCAGCCCACTCCTTCAGCTTCTTGATGGCCAGGTTGATCTCCCCTTCCAGACCCACAGTCTCATACAGCTGCGTCCCCACCTCACTCTGGTGGGGTGAAAGCAGCAACACATTGTTTGTGGACTTGAAGAAAGTTTTGTATTTGAAACAGCACCTGGAAATCTTCCCAAGTGCCTGAGCTTAACTCTTACCTCATATTCAAAGTTACTGTTAATCCCTTCCATTGCGGACATTTTAACCTTTAACTGCACGTTGAGCTTGTTTCGCACTCGCTATCGTTTTTGGTATAAAGTTCTTTTAGTGTCTCTGATACGTTCTCTGTTTCTTTCCATTTTTTTGATAGCTCTTATTTTATTATATCTTTAATGTCAAACACTGGATGACTCCTGCCTTCTTTTAAGTTGGTGAACTTTGTAAACAACAGGAACACCAGTGGAAATAAATGTAAGACTTTATTGTTAAGTCACTCTATGGCAGAAGTACAGTACAGTCATTTTTTTTATAACATCCTTGCAATGTGACCCCGTCATCTAGGGGGCCCCGCATATAACTGTTCAACAAATACTGAAATCTTGAAGTCTAAAATGGCTGGAGGAGAAATGTTCACATGTTACAGCATGGTTTTATTTTTGCAAAGTAGATGAATGCCCCTGGCAGAGAGAGACCCTCAATTTCCACGGTATGTTTGAAACAGTATGCATGAAACACTTCAAAATGGTGAACTAAGCATTCATCATTATGTCTGGTATTACCTTGCGGCTGCTTTGTCATTATAGCATCTTGCGGACCCCTCCCACCCTCACCACAGTACGTGGCATCAAAACATTATGACCTAACAGCACGAAGCCATTTCAAAACAATACAAAAATCTAAAAGTCCAAAACAACAGACTCAAATCTGACTTATTAGTTTTATTTTTAAGTTTTCCCAGAGATAAAATACTTGATTATCCTGTAATCACGGCTCACCTTATTGAGATCTTTCTTCAGGGCATCTACAATCTCCTGCTGTCTCTCTGTGAACAATCGCTGCAGGTTCTTCAGCTGGCGAACACGGTGCTCTAAAGATTTGGATCTGCCCGTTTCGAAGGCCTTCCTGGCAAGAGCCACCACCTGCTGCTCCCTGGACATCCTGGCAACAAAATTAAAAAGACAAGATAGTTTTATTTCAGCAGTTCTTACAGGCACTATTAGGGTATTAGGTAGCTTTTTTTTTACATTTGAGGATTCGATCACCATTGACTTCAATTGGATTGGATTTAGCTGCAACGCTGTTTGACCCTGAAACTCCAAAAATGCTTGGTGGACTCAAACACTTCACCCACCACCTCCGTCGGCAGTGGAGTGCAGATTTAGATTTAGATTTTTGGGTGAATTATCCCTTTGAAGGGAGTTTTTTTCTCTCCACAGTTTGAAATGTGGCCTTTCTCTATTACAGTGTTATATAACGTCAAAGTTACCAGTGCAAACACAAGTGAAGTGAACTGAAATAAGCTGTTTTACTCCTGATAAATATTTGCCACGAAAGTTGTTCTTGAGAGGAATGAAATGCAGGAGTTTGACCCACAGGAGATAGTTGTTCCACTGAGTGAATAAAGCCAGTGAAGGTCACCTGAAGCCTGTTTTCATGGAGCTGCAGAGAATGAGCTGTAAAATGAAACCACCAGAACGATGACAGGTTCACAGTTAAATGTCCATAAGCTCAGTTCACACGGATGGTCTGATGATGATGACATGTATTTACACCTTCTCTGTTCGACACTTGTCATAAATCTGATCTCACGTCAGCTGACTGAAGTTGTTGTTAGTCTCTTCCCCCCTCGGAAACACTGTTTATCGGCTCTTTTCTTTTCGTCCTCTTCGCCGTTCAGCTAAAAGTCTGGAACAACAGAGAAATCCGCTCGGTTGGTTTTATTATCTCATTCCTACCTGAGTACTTTGAGCTTCTGGAGATTCCTCTGAGTGGAGACGCCGAGATGATCCGCGGCACAGGAGGCGAACTGTGACAGTTACCGAGGAAATTAGCTCTTCTCTCCCCCGTTAGGTCACTCCCCCTCCGGGCAGGACCCACCCGGCTGCAGCTAGCCGCTAGCTGCTAACCGCTAGCCTTCTGCCATGCTGTGATGTAAGAGACCAAATAACAACAGAGAGATTCAAAATTACCACGAAACATCCAGAAATAGATTTTTATTAACCTTATAATACACGACAAAGCCATAAGTAGATAATTATTAACCCCATAAAACACAACACATCCATAAATAGATGATTAATAACCATATACAACACAAAACATCCAAAAATAGATGATTAATAACCATATATAACGCAAAACATCCATAAATAGACGATTATTAACCTAATAAAACACAAGAAATCCATAAATAGACGATTATTAACCTTATAAAACACAAAAGGTCCACATATAAATGATAGATAACCATATAAAACACAAAACATTCAGAAATAGACGATTATTAACCTTATAAAACACAAAACGTCCATAACTAGATGATTAATAACCAAATAAACCACAAAACATCCTGATATAGATGAGAAACAACTACATAAAACAACAGCCACAAATAGATTAAACATAATAATTTTAATACACACAAAACTACTCAAATAAATGAAAGGGTTAACCACATAGAGATGAAGAATGACCACAAAATACACGAAACAACCACCAATAGATCAGAACTGACAATAAAAACACTGAACAGCAACAAAGACATTACAAATAAATGAAAAAGTACGACAAAAAACCTCCACAATGAGATAAGAATAACCGTAAAAGAAAATGCTAAATGACCACAATAACATGAAAAATGCACAAAATCAACAGAAAGATAACAATTAGCCATGAAAGACTCAAATGTATCACAAAGAGAAGAAGAGAAAACAAGACCGTAAAGAAAACAAGAAATTACCACAAAGAGAGGAAAAGATCACATATTGAAGGTTAGTCAACACAGAGAGAAGAAAATTACCATAAAGTTTCAACCATGTTGACACAAGACAAACACAACAACCAGAACAACCAACAACCCGCTCAAAAGTGCTCACAAATAGAAGAGACCTCACTGCCTCATCGAAAACCACACTGCATGAAAAACTCTCTGACCTGATTATTATTTTGACTTTTTTCTATTTATTGATTTATCTATCTACACAAAAATGTGACACGAAATAAATATGTTGATATCTTTGCAACAGTTTCATGAAAACGATGTTATCATGTGCAATAAATAAAGTCTTTTATCGAAAGCCAACAGTCACACTCCCATGTGACCCAATGATCCAGTCTTATCCTCCTGGAGTAACACTCTTGATATCCCGTCACCACTGGTTCTGATCGTACCGTAGATTTTAATTAGAAAAATGTTTTTTTTATTTCATTTTCTTTTGACCCTTTCTCATCTGTTAAATGTTTTTTTCTGTATCTAAATAAAGTACAATGAATAATGTTTATTATTTGGGCCCTGGTGTTGAGAACAGTTCTCATTTCCAGGGTTCAAAATATTATTTTGTGTTTATAAAAAGATTTCTTCGAAAAAAATGTGAATACATTTTTTTAAAACTATTTATTTATTCCACACATAAGCAAACACATAATCATACCAGTTTCAGCAGGTAGTTTAACGCCTGCGTCCTGTCGACCACTTTCTCCCAAAGTCCAGCTCAAGCTAACTCATCACAGTAAAAGAATCTATACTTTACTTCAGAGCCTTAATATCCAGTTGTTTCATAACTTTATAGCAGCACCTACTCATGTCTCCTGCAGGCCCTTCTTTCCCAGCAGAGGCCGATGTGCTCTCATCCGCTGCCAAACTGGAATCACACTCAGCTTCTACTTTCCAGATCCAGAAAGGCTTTTTTACGACACAGCACATAGGCCATGGAGTGAACCCGTCTACTCAGCCATGCAGCTCGTGGATCAGGCCCAAAAATCTCTTGGGTTGACAGGAAATGTGAATGGAGTCTCCACATCAAACAGCGGGCAGAGGAGCAGTGTTTGTGTATTGTGAAGGAGGGAGCGAGGATGTTGGTGAGGGAGAGGAGGCCAGAGCGTCATTCACACCTGAGTGTCGATCCTGATTTCTTAGAGAGGAGTGTGGACACAGGAGAGCAGCGTTCCTCTGTGTGCACACCTGGTTTGTGAGGTATAGATCCAAGCATTCAGGCACAGGGAGGACAGTTTGTGTATTGTGTGTGTGTGTGTGTGTGTGTGTGTGTGTGTGTGTG